AGAAGGAGGAGAAAGGAGAATGAGGAGAAGGAAGAGGAGAGGCAGGAGGACTAGGAGGAGGAACAGGCGAGGCAGGAGGAGGAGGAGGCGGAGGAAGAGGAGAGGCAGGAGGACGAGGATGAGGAAGAGGAGAGGCAGGTGGAGGAGGAGGAGGAGGAGGAGGAGGAGGAGGAGGAGGAAGAGGAGAGGCATGTGGAGGAGGAGAAGGAGGAGGAGAAGGAGGAGGATGACGACGATGAGGAGGCCATGGTGCCCGAGGTTGTTCTTCTTCGATCCTCCTTCCCTGGCATCTTGGCAACGAGCTTGAGGAGCTTCTCCTGCGTCCGGAGGCCCTCGAACTCCGCGATCGCGGCCTCCACGGCCTTCTCCGCCATCTCCACCGCGACCTTAGAGGCCTCCTGGATGGGGTCCGAGTAGATGGGGTCGAAGGATCGCGCCGTATCGCCAATGCATCGCCGATGCATCGGCGATGCATCGGCGACGTCGGCGATGCATCGGCGACGTCGGCGTGGGGAAACACGGTCTCCACATCGAGCCGCATCGTCGATGCATCGGCGATGCGGCGCGATCCTCCGACCCCATCTACTCCGACCCCATCTGGGAGGCCTGGAGACCTGCAGCTCGTCGCCCCTGCTCTTGAGAGCCTCGCTGGAGAGGCCCATGATGGACTCCAGGAACTCCTTCTCCTGGGGGCAAGGGGGGAGCGGCACAGTCACAAACTGTCGACGGCCCGCGCGGACGTCTTGGACCTGCGCTGGACCCCCCCCGCTGGCGGCGCCCCGTGCGCCGCCCCAGGCGCGCTCCGCGGGCCGGGAAGGAGGGGGGCCCAGCGCAGATCCAAGAAATTCGCGCGGACCGTCGAAACTGAATGTCTATGCTGTCGTGGGCGCTCTCTCTCTCTCTCTCTCTCTCTCTCTCCCTCCCCCCCCGCCCGCGGCCGCTTCCTCCTCGCCCTGTTTCCCCTCTTGCTGCCGGACAATGAGCGATGCCCTTTCCTGACTTGCCCGAGCGCGCGTGCGGACTGCGTCTGCCGCGCCGCGGCGTAAAACAAGCATGCAGCTGTTTCTTCTTCGATCTCCTCCCCCTTGCACCCGGCGACGTTCGTCGGGCCACACTGAGGCTTGAGGCCCGCCGCGAAGGTGCTGAGCGCGGCGTAGCTGCGCTGGCCCGTGTATTTTGTCATGCCCTCGGGGGTCGAAGGGTCCCCGTGCAAGATCGTGGGGTAGCCCCTCACCCCGTGCTTCCCGCACAGGGGCTTGCCCGCGGCGGTGCAGTCCACGTCGGCCACTATGATGTTGCTCGAGCCTGGAGGAAGAGCAGCCTGCACAAACATAAACGCACGAAGTCCACGTGGACGATCGGAGCTTTATGTGTATGCCGCGTGCTGCGATCGTAATCAGTCGTATTCGTGTTAAGCTTCCTGTGTGTTTTGGTCGTACGATTGTTCATGATACTCCCATGAGTAATGCTACGACTGTCAGGCTTGTGAACTTCACCAAAGGCTGTAATTCCAACTAGTCGTAATCGCACTCTGGTTACGAGTGACCTGATTAGCATTCGCCAATGCGAGTATACGATGATGAATGCCATCAGTTCGACTGCCGAGGCAATCCTTCGTCTTAGTATCAAGAGTTTGGTTCGTATTACTGCAGCGGGGGAGAGAGAGAGAGAGAGAGACAGAGGGATGGATAGACAACAAAAGAAAGAGAGAGAGAGAGAGAGAGAGCGTGAGAGAGAGGAATAATACAACAAGAGGAGATAAGAAAGAGAGAGAGAGAGAGGAAACTATATATATGTGTATATATATATATATATAGATCCGCCGGCCACCTTGTGGGGCCACCAGGCTGTAGGGCTAAGGTTCGCAGTTTCCTGTACCAGTTGCAGCTTCCAGGTTCCACTGTTACAGTTCTGCTTCTTGCTGCTTACTGCTCCTTGGCTGCTTCTTGCTGCCTACTGTTCCTTGTTGATGGACCGCGCGAGGGGGGGATACCAAAACCGGGCCTGTTTACCACGCCCTGAGCGTGTTGTCTGAATTGCTGGGGTGAGTAAAGAATTACACCCCTCACGCAGATCGGCGGGGTCAGGGTCCAATACCACAGGGGATGTGCCACATTTCTGAATTCGGTGACACCCCTCACGCAGATCGGCGGGGTCAGGGTCCAAAAACACAGGGCATGTGCCACATTTCTGAAATTTGCTGGCACCCCTCACGCAGATCGGCGGGGTCAGGGTCCAACACATGGGATTTGCCACATTTCTGAAATGCGGTGGCACCCCTCACGCAGATCGGCGGGGTAAGGGTGCAAAAACAGAAGGGGACGTCCCACATTTCTGAAATTCTCTGGCACCCCTCATGCAGATCGGCGGGGTCAGGGTCCAAAAACAGAAGGGATTTGCCACATTCCTGAAGTTCGGTGGCACCCCTCAGGCAGATCGGCGGGGTCAGGGTCCAAAAACACAAGGGATTTGCTACATTTCTGAAATTCGGCGGCACCCCTCACGCAGATCGGCGGGGTCAGGGTCCAAAAACAAAAAGGGATTTGTCACATTTCTGGAATTCGGTCGGCGGCACTCCTCACGCAGATCCGTAGGGTCAGGGTCCAACACATGGGATGTGCCACATTTCTGGAATTCGGCGGCACCCCTCACGCAGATTCGTAGGGTCAGGGTCGAAAAACAAACAGGTCCCGACACTGCTTCACGGCGGCGCCCAGACCTCATGATTCAGCTTTTGCATCTCTCATTATCCGAGGCCGACGGCATGGGGCGAAGCCCTTACGAACATATATATATATATATATATATATATGTATATATGTATATATACAAGACTGCAGTGGCGCTTCGCGCCATGCACCTTGGTCCTTGAAATTTGGTATGCAGGCAGAATAGCAGGAAGGTCAACCCGAAAATTCAGCGAGAATTCTTTGTTGCCTTTTCTGGCATCGCCGCTGTAATAATGTTATTCGCTATCCTTCCTCCATGTTTCTTTTTCCTCATTTTCGCCATACCCTGCGCATTCTCCCCATCCTCCTCGGCTCTTTTTGCGGAGGCTCCTCCTTGGAGAGCCTCTGGGGGCCTCGCAAAAATTATGTCAAGCTTTCTTAGGCCTTCTGGAGGCCTCTTGGGCGTGTTCTGGGGGCCTCTGGGGGCTTCCTCGGGTCGCCCTGCCTCCAACCGCGGTCTCCCTGAACGACCGGGTCACGATTTGGAATGCTTCGGAGGGTGTCTTGGGGCCATCTTGGGCCGCCATGGGGCTCCCTGAGGGCCATCTTGGACCCCTGTTGTGCCGTTTGGGGGCTCTCTTGGAATGCCTGGAAGCCCTTTGGAATGGTTATGGGGCGATTTTAGAGCCTCCAAAGCGGCTTCGGACGCCCAGAAGACCGCCGTCTTGGAGCGTCGGGAAGCCCAAAAGAGGAGAACCCCACAATTCACCAAAAACCAATAGAAAATCAATAATGTTTGCCTCTTGGGGCCTTCTTGGGAGTGCTCTTGGAGGCCTCTTGGGACGTTTCGGGACGATCTTTGGGGATATGATGGCTTCTTGGGGGTCGTCTTGAGGTCACGTCGGTCACTCTTGGAGCGCTCTTGTGCTGTCTTCGGGGTCTCTGGGACGTCTTCGATGACCCCCCCGATCGCCCTAGGTGTGCTGGGAAGGCCTGGAAAGACGCCCTGCGAGGCCCGGGGGGCCGCTTCGAGGCCCGTCCGGAGGGCCCCAAAGCCCCAGATCCCGGGAGCCCGGTTTTGGGGGGGGGGGCGGGTTTTCCCACCGCCCGGGCTTGGAAAAATATAGGAAGAGGAATAAATAAATGTATATATGTATACATATATATATATATATACAAGACTGCAGTGGCGCTTCGCGCCATGCACCTTGGTCCTTGAAGTTTGGTGCGCAGGCGAAATAGCAGGAAGGTCAACCCGAAAATCTAGCGATAACTCCTTGTTGCCTTTTCTGGCATGCCCGCTATAATTATGTTATTCGTGATCCTTCCTCCATGTTTCTTTTTCCTCATTTTCGCCATACCCTGCGCATTCTCCCCATCCTCCTCGGCTCTTTTTGCGGAGGCTCCTGCTTGGAGAGCCTCTGGGGGCCTCGCAAAAATTATGTCAAGCTTTCTGAAGGCCTTCTGGAGGCCTCTTGGGCGTGTTCTGGGGGCCTCTGGGGGCTTCCTAGGGTCGCCCTGCTTCCAACCGCAGTCTCCCTGAACGACCGGGTCACGATTTAGAATGCTTCGGAGGGTGTCTTGGGGCCATCTTGGGCCGCCATGGGGCTCTCTGAGGGTTATCTTGGACCCCTGTTGTGCCGTTTCGGGCCCTCTTGGACTGCCTGGAAGCCCAAAAGAGGAGAACCCCACAATTCACCAAAAACCAATAGAAAATCAATAATGTTTGCCTCTTGGGGCCTTCCTGGGAGTGCTCCTGGAGGCCTCTTGGGACGTTTCGGGACGATCTTTGGGGATATGATGGCTTCTTGGGGGTCGTCTTGAGGTCTGTCTTCGGGGTCTCTGGGACGTCTCCGATGACCCCCCCGGTCGCCCTAGGTGTGCTGGGAATGGCAAAACGCCCTGCGAGGCCCGGGGGGCCGTCTCGAGGCCCGTCTGGAGGGCCCCAAAGCCCCAGATCCCGGGAGCCCGGTTTTGGGGGGGGGGCCGGGTTTTCCCCCCGCCCGGGCTTGTAAAAATATAGGAAGAGGAATACATATATATATATATATATATATATAGAGAGAGAGAGAGAGAACTAGAGTGAGAGAGCAAGAGAGAGCAGCAGGAGATAGAGAGAGAGAGAGAGGGAGCCCTTATACTCGGCCATCAGCTTGTCCCAGTCGGGCTTCATCCTTCGCGTGTTGCCGAAGAGGCTTCACTGGCCCAAAGCAGCCCAGGGACTCCTGGGAGCCCCCGCGGCCACCGGGTGGCACCCCACGCGAGGCCCCGCGACCCCATAAGAGCGGCACCGAGGGCCGGTGACGCCTTGGTCCAGGGCGCCTCTCCCTGAGATCCGACGTGGCATACTTGCGCAGCGAGGAGGCGGAGGAGGAGGACAAGGAGGAGGAGGACAAGGAGGAGGAGGAGGACGAGAAGGAGGAGGGGGAGGAGGGGGAGGACAAGGAGGAGGAGGAGGAGGAGGAGGAGGCGGAGGAGGAGGAGGAGGAGGAGGAGAGGAGGAGGAGGGGAGGAGGAGGAGGAGGAGGAGGAGGAGGAGGAGGAGGAGAGGAGTAGGAGGAGGAGGAGGAGGAGGGAGGAGGAGGAGGAGGAGGTGGAGGAGGGGGAAAGGGAGGCCGCATCCTTCTGCGGCATTTCTCGAGCCGCATCGATCCGTGAAGGCCTCCGGGCGCGAAGCACGGCGAAGCCGCCGCTGGCAGAAGCACCCGAGGCGTACCCAGCCCGTCCCCCACGCGAGGCAAGTCTTTGCATGAACGCCCTACTCAAAGGAAGCCGTCGCCAGATAGGCACGATCTGCGCTGCCCTGGTCCCCGCCGTGCCTCCACCGACCCTGCGAAAACGGAGACAAGCGCGCACTGCTCAGCCTCCCAGGGAGCCGCGAGGTCTCGACTGGATCCGCGTGGCCCCCGACTCCGCTGGACCTCTCGGGAGCCCACGAAAGTGGCGACAACTGCGCAGTTCGCAGCATGCCAGGGCGCAGCGAAATCCCAAATGGGCGCGCGTTGTCCTCGACTCCGCTGGACCTCTCTGGAAATCACGAACGTGGTGTCGGGCGAGCAGTCCGCAGCCACCCGGGGCCCGCGCGGCCCCCGACTCCGCTTACCTCGCAGGGCACTTGCGCAGTTCGCCGCCCCCTGCCAGGTCTCGCCTGGGCGCGCGTGGTCCCCGACCCCGCTGGGCCTCCCAGGAGCCCACGAGCGTGGCGACAGCTGCGCAGTCCGCAGCCTCGCCAGGGCGCGGCGAAGTCTCGTCTGGGTGCGCGTGCCCCCCCACCCCGCCATGCCTCCCAGGAGCCCACGAACGTGGCGCCAATTGCGCAATTCGCAGCCCCCCCCCCAGGGACAGGCGAGGTCTCGCCTGGCTGGCTGCGCGTGGCCCCTGACTCCGCTGAGCCTCCCAGGAGCCCACGAAAGTGGCGACCATTGCGCAGATCGCAGCCCCCCCCAGGGAGCCGCGAGGTCTCAACGCGGTCCGTTCACAACTCCAGTCCGCTGGACCACACATGCGCAGTTCGCAACCCCCCCCCCAGGGACCCGAGGGGTCTCAACGCGGTTCGTTTACAACTCCATTCCGCTGGACCTCCCAGGAGGCAATACACATTGCGACAATTGCGCAGCTCGCGTCCCCCCAGGGACCCGAGGGGTCTCAGGAGCCCATGCAGATGGCGACAATTGCGCAGGGCTCAACAACGCAGTTCATTCACAACTCCACTCCGCTGGACCTCCCACGAGCCCATGCAAATGGCGACCATTGCGCAGTTCGCACCCCCCCCCAGGGAGCCGCGAGGTATCAACGCGTCACGTTTACGGCTCCACTCCGCTGGACCTCAAAGGAACCCGCGAGGGTGACGACAATTGCGCAGTTCGCAGCTCCCCCAGGGAGCCGCGAGGGCTCAGCGCGGTCCGTGTACAACTCCAAGCCGCTGATCCTCCCATTCGCCCACGAAAGTGGCGACAATTGCGCAGTTCGCAGCCCCCCCCAGGGACCCACGAGGTCTCAACGCGGCTCGTTTACTAGTCCACTCCGCTAGACCTCCAACGAGAGTGACGACAGTTGCGCAGTCCGCAACCCCGGCAACCCCCCCAGGGACCCGCGAAGTCTCAACGCCGTCTGTTTACAACTCCACTCCGCTGGACCTCCCAGGAGCCCATGCGAATGGCGACACTCGCGCAGTTCGCATTCCCCCCCCCAAGGAGCCGCGAGGTATCAACGCGGCACGCTTACAACTCCACCCCGCTGGACCCCCACGGAACCCATGAAAATGGCGACACTTGCGCAGTTCGCAGCCCTCTACCCAAGGAGCCGCGGGGTCTCAACGCGGTTCGTTTACAACTCCACTCCGCTGGACTTTCCAGGAGCGCACGAAAGTGGCGACAATTGTGCAGTTCGCAGCCCCCCCCCCCAAGGAGCCGTGAGGGCTCAACGCGGTCCGTTTGCAACTCCACTCCGCTGGACCTCCAAGGAGCCCACGAGAATGGCCACAATTGCGCAGTCCCCCCCCCCAGGGAGCCGCAGGGTGGAAGACGAGGAGGACAGCAGAAAGTGGGGTCGAGGAGGGGGAGGAGGAGGAGGAGGAGGAGGAGGAGGAGGAGGAGGAGGAGGAGGAGGAGGAGGAGGAGGCGATTCGGCGATTCGCGGCTCGCTGAGAGGGGACCCTCTCGCCGTCGAGGTCTAACCGTCCACGATCAAGGCCAGAGCGGGGCATCTGGCATCGGCACGGATGGGCTAACTTTTCAGACGGTCCAGCAGCAGGCGCCCACGCTTCGCCCCCCCCCCCCCCCCCTCACTCCCGCCCTCACCCAGTATAGCCCTGTCCATCTCCCCCACCGTGCCCAGGCACACAATACTAGTAAGATACTCACAGAGGCCAGCGACTCCAACAAGCTCAGCTGTCATAGTAGTGCCTTTGGGATCCTGCGGAATACCCACTCCCCCTCCACACCGTCTCCTCCCCCGCCTCCAGGCTCTCCCAACAAATAGTCCATCCAGCCCCCGCGCCTTCCTCCCTCTGTCCTCCATCAAAAGAACAACATCAACAACACGAACGAGAAGGGAGCCTGGCCCATGATGGAGGCGGACCGTTCTCCCCGCGAGCCGACGCGAGCGTTAGTGCCGCAGTAGCACATTCGTCGGCTTCCTGGTTGAATTCACGGTGCACATGCCGTAGGAAGTCCCCCCACATTCCACTGGTAGAGCCCCCTCCTTATACATATCATAAACACGCGTCCGTACTCTCCGAAGCGGACCGAGCAACTGGGGATTGAAGCAATGCCAGCGACCTACGATCCATTCAACGGCCGTCTGATTTCCCCCCCCCCCCGGTGTCCACAAGGATCTTGGCGCTCCGCATCTCGGCTCGGGCTCGCAGCGGCCGTGGCTCGAGAGGTGCGCGCACCGCGCGCTGGGTGGCCTTGCCACAAGCGACAGCAGCAGTAGCTCGTAGCCTTAAAAGCTGGGTCCGCGGTAGACCCGCACGAAGCAAAATAACTGAGATGAGATCCTCCCCCAACTCCTTCCACTCCCGCTCGTACTTGGCATATTCCCTCCACCCCGCTCCCACGTGCGTGATCCAAAAATCTCCCCACTGAGGCGCCCGTTGCCAACCTGCGCGACGTTGCCATTGCTCTTCTTCTCTAGCGACCGTGGCGAACGACTTTCCTCTTCTTCCTGCTTTCGATCTGCTCCTGTTTGTGATCCTGCCACTGGCCCTCACACTTGTACGCATACGCATCAGATAGGAACTGCCTAGATCCCTGATGCCCTTCAGGAGGGTTCACATTCTGAGCATAATCAGGAACTGCGGAGCCCCCCCTTGGAGCACGGGATAGGGGCGGCTCGGCCTGGCCAAAAATCTTGCCAGCAAAGATGGCGCTGCTGCAGCACGCGCTCGTGTACAAGAAGGTGGCCTTGCTTGACATACACCTTACGGATACTACGAGTGGTAGATGTCATGCACTCTGCGATCGACCCCCCCGTCCTCCTCTTCCTCGTTCTGCCCGCCTTCCCTAGCATACCACCTTCAGCCTTAGCGAGAAACACCAGCATCCCATGCGCCATGGCCCAGGCCTCGCAACCGTAGCACATGATGGGAACAATGCACTGAGAATTCCTACGCATACGTTCAGCAACCGGGAGCATCTTAGCCCTCAGGATCTTCCCCCCCCAGAATGCCGCCTTCGCCCTCTACACCCTCCTTCTCATATCTGGACAAGAGTCCCCCGTTTCGGTAATGATACTGCCAAGCTGCAGGCTACTCGAGCAACGTAAGACCTCCAAAGACGCCAACGTCGGTGGAGCATGACGCGGGTCAAGCCCCAGGATCTTAAGGAACTGCTCGGTCGTAGCCAGCGGGGTGACGAACTCGACGGAGCTGGGCTTCCAGCACAAGCTGTACCTCGCCATCACCCCCGTGAGTAGCTGTGCCATATGCTGAGTCTGGGATATTGACCTGCCAAGTAGATAGATATTATCACACCAGAGAATATTGGTGTATCGATGACTTTTGATGGTGATGCCTAAATCGTGCTCCCTGAAATATGTAATGGATTCTCTCGGCACCTCCCCCAGGACACTATTCCACTTCATAGGTGCAGTCGATCCCTGACGCTCGCACTTTGTGAATGGAACATATTCGGGTACAGGTGCGCCTTCAAACGCTGCTTCGAGGTGGCAGCCTACATTCTCTCTCAAGAGCGCCGCGCTAAGGCCCCCTGGCACATGCCGTTTTTGAAGACATTGGGCAACTTCTCGGCCCCTGAGGTTGTCGAAAGCTTGGTAAACATCCCCCATGAACATCACAAACGGGCCCTCCTTTGGCCACTCGCGCGCCTTGATCAGGAGAATTGGGGCCGGTCCGACCACCTGGTTGCATGACGCATGGGGCTCGAAGCCCATGATACACAGGTGCCTGATGGAGAGGCCCCTCGGCTGCTCAAGCATCAGCAGCGTGGGGGACGAAATATACCACTTCAAAGTAACAGACAGCAGCGATATCCCGCGAAAGTGCTTGGAGATGCCCCTGGCCACAGCCTCTTTAGCTAGGAACGACATGACGATGGCTCTCCAGGACTTCACGGGACCACCTCCAGAACACAACCTGGATGCGAAAAGCTCGAACACCTTATACACGACCTCGACTCCGAGGGCCAGGATCATCTCAGAGACAACCTCACCACTACCACCAGCTTTGCCAGAGCTGAGGCGGCTGCGAGCCTGCAGCACATGATGTACACTAAAATCACGAGCAGCCCGCCTACATCCTCGATCCCAAAGCTGCTGCACCCTAGCTAGCTGCACCTTGTCCGTCTCGTCAGGATCGAAGTACTTATGCTTGCAATGCTGCTGCACCACAGAGCCCCATTTTGATACATCCTCCACCACCTTGCCCTCTACATCCACCAACTCTCTCCCAACGGTAGTACGTCCTCCTTCGCGATGCCTCCTTCCTGATGGACGTTGGATCCTCCACTTCTTCCTCCCCCAACACCTCCTCTCACGTACCTCCCCCCTCCTCAGCTCTTTCCTCCTAGGGTCGCCCTTTGGGATCAACTGGATTTGCTCTGCCAGGAGCACGAGACCTTCAGGCTTGGAACAGGCGTCACGGTAAAAGTGTGCTCTATCTCAGTAGCCCCCCCCCACCATGACATCCCCCAGCTGATTTAACACCACATCCCCTCCTCCTCGTGCAGCTCCTCTAAATCCTTCAAGGCCCCCTCCCGGCATGCGAATAGAGACTCAGCAGACTCTGGAGCCCAACCCGCATGGGCGAGCTCGCGGCCGAGCCGTCGTAGAGTACAATGCCCTCCCAGGATCTGCGCCCACGCAGGGAAATGATCTCGCTGGGCGCCTCCTACGACGATGATCTCATCATTGGCACAGCGCGCTCGAGCTCCCCACGAGACTGGGATGGCAATGAAATCAATCATGGAGTCGAAGTGCATACCCAGGTGGTGGAACGTGCGACAAGCTCTCGAGGTAACTACGGGGCCATGCCCCTCCCCTGCAGCATCCAACGTACTGTGCGTAAATGTATTGACGACCTTGAGTCCCCAGGAGAGTAGTGTATCAATCAGGTAATCCTGTCTCTCACGGCCCTCGGCGGCACCGGCGAATGACGCAGGACTGAAGGGACTCGTGAGATGCGATGTATTAGGCGGTAACTGGGTATTGAAATCTCCCCCCATTACAATATGCTTGCATCCCTGTTGGAAACTCCAAGAATTGATGCTCTGAACCTCCTCGATCGCTTCTTTGAACTGTTCAAACGACTTGCCCCAGGCGTCTGGAAGATAGCAGCTCACGACGCAGGCATCTCCGAAGACTACGCCTGTGGCATGTAAGCTGCTCTTGAAAGAACCCGAATTCGAAGTCAAGGTAGACGGCCAAGCAATAGCCGTCGAGTGCCCAGGCTCGTGTCGCACAACCCATCCTGCAGCAAAAGGATCCCTCGGCCACGAGCTCACCTTCTGCAGTAGGACAACGCAGCCCGCACCATATCTTGAAGATACCCACTCCAGTAGATCCCCAACTGAGTGCACGGTGATGCGGCTAACGTTCCAGGACAGCACCTGCAAATTCTTGCTACGAGAAACATGCAGATGCCCGAAACGGGCACCTCTGGGTGAGGGTCACGATGAGAGTGCGCGGTAGCCCGCGTCGACGTCGACGCCAGGGAACGCGGTCGGCCAATTGTCGGGAAATATCTCCCACCCGCCACTCGATGTCGAAAACTCTGCGATCCGAAGGGGTCTAGCAGCTTGGCCAATATATCTAACCACAAGCCTGCCGAAGGAGATCTGGTACTGCAGGTTGAAGTCGTCCTTGTTGCGGTTTTGGCGCTCAAAGTACCCATCGAACTTGCCCGCCTGTATGGTCAGAGGCCTGGCCTCTGGTGAAGGAGTGACCGTGCATTTGACCATTCACAGTACCACCAGCAGCGAGTACACGATTGCATTCCTTCTGAACCTTCCAGAAGTCGTTTTTGCTAGATGTCGTCTTCATCACCATGATAAGCTTGGTGTGAAGTAGTCGGCCCTGCACCTTATCCAAGGTCGGCTGCTCGTCTACGTGTCGCCTGCGGTCGGGGCTGAGCGCGGCAAACAAACCATTGAGAAAACGTGTGGCCTCCGCCTGAGTCATACTCGACGCGTCTGGATCCTCCCACTTGGTGATCCAGTTCTTGAACTCTAAAGTACTTGGCGCGGGCTGGCCCCCGCCACTGTACGGGTTGCTGCTGAAACCGCCCATGGCTCTCGGCGCCGTCGTAGAGCCTTTCGAAGATGCGGCACCCGAGAGCGCCAACTTCCTCACCTCGTCTAACTTGGACTCGAATCTCCTCTCCATCTCGTCACATTTGTCATCCACCTTCTTGCCTAGCTTCGCCTCGAGCTCATCGAACCTGGCCGTGATACGATCGCACGCGCGGTCAGCAGCTTTGTCAGCACACCTGGCAAGCACTGCCTCGAGCTGAGCGGCATCCATGGCGGCCGCTCCGAGAGACACAGAGGGTGGCTCGGGGAAATCCTCAACTGTGTCGGGATCTAATTCGCAAGCCTTGCGAACTCTACTCATACATGTGTGGAGCAAGCTAGTCCAAAAAGTGGTGCCGCTTGAGCCGGAGAAGAAGGAAGAGGAGGAGGTCGAGGAGGAGGAGGAGGAGGAAGAGAAGGAGGAGGTGGGGGAGCAGGACGCAGTTCGAAACCCCGGAGGCAAGGCGACCACAGGGAGGGGGCAGGAAGAGGAAGAGGAGAGGCAGGAAGAGGACAAAGAGGAAAAGGGAGGAGGGAAGAAAGCAGGAGGCAGGACGGTTAGGAAGAGACAGCAGGGGGAGGA